GGGGGCATGTGTGTTGCAGGAATAGCCACACCGCTGCCAACCAGATGGGAATAATGGGACCTTTGAGTTAGAACTTGGGCTCAAATTCCATCTTTCAAACCTCCCAGCGGTGTGACCTTCAGCAAGTTACAGCACCTTTCGAGGATTTCTAGAACGTGGGTTTGAGAAAGGGGATGCACATTCAGCATGCACTGGGTGAACACTCCTAGCTCAGGCTCTGGGAGGTACGTTATTTCCTAGAATATGAAATTTACTTTGTCTTTTTTTTTTTTTTCCTGCCAAAGGAAGACTAGATCTATTTCTTGCCCATGAAGTACTTTTCTATCCATTTACCACAAGCCACAGGGATGAAATATTTTCTTACCTACTTGGCTTCTTGTGGGACCTCCTCCATCCGTGACTGATGGTTTAGAGCACAAGCGGCTTCCTTCCTTGTTTTGTATCTGCGCTCGATGCTCAGAGTGGTGAGAAAGGATGTCAGCATCCCCAAGGAATGAGAGAGAGCGAGGGGGATGCTGAAGTCAGTAGGTCCCAGCCCTTGGGTTAAGAGGAAGCCAGAGAGAGTGTCACTCTGCTGGCTGCAGGAGCGGAGGAAGGCCTGATGTGGAGAGATAACGCAGCAGGAAGCCCAGGGAGGCCTGGGCAGTTGTCAGTGTCCACTGGAAGATGCTGCCCACCCTGCCTCTCACTTTACGAGCTTGAGTGAGAGGTGGTCTGATTTTATTCCCCAAGCCCAGGCAAGACGAGTTCATGTCCTTGTGACCCAGGAGCATCCCTCTGACTCAGGAGATGTATTCCACCTCTCCTTCCTGGCAAGCTGTCTCCAAGGGGGTCCTCTTCCCGCACTCCCCATGCAGACAGGTGGAAGGGCTGATCACTGCTTCAGTTGAGTCTCACTGCTTCTCTGTGCTTTGCAGCTAACATTTCTACGGGGCTTAAGTGCAGAGACCACAGTGATGGAGAGGGAAGAAGTGAGGTTGTGCTTGGGGTGGTTTTGATCCATGTTCGTGAGCAGAATTACATTCACGTTGCTTTGAGGTTCCATCCAGGCTGCTTTGAGCGTGCTTTGGTTGCTGCCGGACAAACCAGCCGGTGTTGCTCTTTGTAAAGGTTTAGAGTCCAGTCCCAGGGCACTTGGGATGGGTGGTCTGGAAATCAACCCCAGGATCACCAAATAGTATAATTAATACCTTCTCTTTGTCCGATAGTTGCCGTTTTTCAAGAGAAAGTTCTCCCCCCGTCACCATGTTTGAATTATACCGTCAACCAGGGCTCAGTAGAGGCCCACGTTGTCTGTTTCTCTATTTTTATGTATGTTTGTTGAGGGCATAGGAGTGCACTTTGTCAGGGGCTGCAGGTGTTCAGAGATGCATAAGACTCTGTAAAAGGCATTTACAGGGGTGTGTGTACCCCAGGTACAAGGAGGTGAGGGCCAGGGTAGAGGGGAGGCGACACAGGCTATACGCGGAGCTGCACAGAAAGTGATTCAGCTCAACAGTTCTTCACGGGACCCTTGCAGAGGCCACAGTTAAGACGTGGCCCTGTCTCTCTTTATTTGGATTTTATTTTATTTTATGTTTCAAACATTTTTATTTATTTATTTTACTGAAGTATAGTCCATTTACAATATTGTATTAGTTTCAGGTGTACAGCGAAGTGAAAAGAATATATATATTCTTTTTCAGATTCTTTTCCATAATGTTATTACAAGATATTGAATATGTGTTCCCTGTGCTGTACAGTAAATCCTTGTTATCTATTTTATATACAGTAGTTTGTATCTGTTAATCCCATACTGCTAATTTATCCCTCCCCCTCTTTTCCCTTCGGTAACCATAAGGTTGTTTTCTATGTCTGTGAGTCTATTTCTTTTTTGTAAATAAGTTCATTTGTGTTGCTTTTTAGGTTTCACATATAATAATGTCTTTCTCTGTCTGACTTACTTCACATAATATGATAATCTCTAGGTCCATCCACGTTGCTGCAAAAGGCATTAGTTCATTCCTTTTATGGCTGAGTAATATTCCATTGTGTGTATATATACACCACATCTTCTTTATCCATTCATCTGTTGAAGCACTTGGGTTGCTTCCATATGTTGGCTATTGTAAATATTACCGCTGTGAACATCGGGGTGCATGTATCTTTTCAAATAAGAGTTTTTGTCTTTTCTGGATACATGCCCAGGAGTGGGATTATTGGATCATATGGTAATTCTAGTTTTAGTTTCTTAAGGAACCACCAGACTGTTTTCTATAATGGCTACACCAGTTTACATCGATGTGGCCCCTATCTTGAAGGTGCTCCCAATTCACTAGGAGAGGCAGGCAGTGCCCATGTAACCAGTAACCTGCCACAGCACAGTAGGTGCCGTGTCCAGTGCTAGGCACTCCAACCCCATTGCTTCCATGTCCACACACATGCCTAAATGCCCACCTGGGCCACCTGCTTCATTGGCCGGCCGCCAGCACCATTGGTTTCTAGAGTGATAAGCCTGCTGCAACAGGTTTAGAGAGGAGTGGTACTGGCAGAACCCTGCCGTCTTCACTCTTCCCTGCTAGCTGGACACAGCTCTGATTGTGCCAGCAAAGGAATGCAGTTTGCCCGGAAAGGATGTATTTCTTGACTTGAGAGCAGCCTAAGTTGTATGTGAGGTAATCAGACAAAAAGAAATGCTGATGCCTCTGAGTTCCTCGATGTTTTCAGTTTCATCATGCTGTTTGCTAGGTACAGAAATACCAGCTGTCCAGCAGTTTCATCCTGCATATGTGTGTGCGTGTGCGTGTGCGTGCATGCGTACCCACATACAAAGGTAATTTCATAGCCAGTAAGAAAAGGCGGAAGAGAAGGGCCTTGGGGAACTTGCTGGGGTGTTGGAAACGTTCTATATCTTGATCTAGGTTTACATTACATAGGTTACTTGTCAAAACTCATTGGATGATAGACTTATAATTTGTGCATTTCACTGTTTGAATTTTATCTTGAAAAAATAACTGTAAGCAAATAATGGACTCATTAATGATATGCAGGCTGAAGTGTTCAGGGTGAAGTGGACTGCTGTCTGCATCTTACTGTGAAATGTATCACAAATAAGATGGATGGTTGCATTGATTAAGGGATGGGCAGCAAAATGCTAACAATTGTAGAATTGAGGTGGTGGGCATATGAGTGTTCCCTGTATGATTCTTCCCATTTTACTGCATGCTTGAAAGTTTTCATAATAAAATGTTAAAGCAGAAGGACTACAAATAACCACCACTTGTGATCCCTAGAACTTTCCTTAAGCGAATTCCCCCAAGAGCCAGTTTTCTCGGCTGACCCAGTACTGTTCCTACAGACGGCATCACCTGCTTCCTAAGGGAGTGTTGGTGAAGCGACGTGAGGGCCCTGGGCTGAGTGTGTTCTCTGTGCACCTGGTGTGGTAGGTGTGGGCGTGTTTCCTGAAGGATGTGTTAGCTAGGACTTCCTTTGAAGGTGATGCAGTTTATCAACTTGAAATGATAAGAACTCTGAAACACAGGGCTTTCTGCCCTGTAGGCAGAATGTGACTGGGGATTTGCAGCCTGACAGATGGGAAGCAGAGCTAGAAAAGGCTGGCTGAGCCCCTGACGAAGGACATGAGCTGGCTACCCTGATGGATGCCGGGGGACCTTTTTATATATATTTAAATTTTTGAAAAATTAGTTATATATATTTTATATATAAACTGTATAGAGATGTATAATTGATTTTTCAAAAATTTTAACATTATACAGTATATTTAAACAGATCCAGGGGAATTCCCTGGCAGTCCAGTGGTTAGGACTCGATGCTTTCAGTGCCATGGGCCCGGGTTCAATCCCTGGTTAGGGAACTAAGATCCCACAAGCCACTCGGCACGGCCATAAAATTAAAAATTTTTTAAAATTAAAAAAAACAGATCCAAACACTTCTTGAGACTAGACTTTTTTCAGCTATAACCATGCCTGCCCTTGTAAGTTTTTTTTAATACAGAAGATGGAAAGAAGTAAAACCAGCCATAATTTTACAGTTTTGCTATATTTCCTTCTTGAATCTTTTAAAAATAATTTCATGCATTATTTACATAACTGTGATCTTTTTCATTTGACTATAATGGGGGAGTTCTTTGGAAGGGAGATTACAACACCTCCTTTTATGTGGACTGGCCCACATAAGGGACCATATAAAGGAACCGAAGAGTGGGCATAGGGCACAGACAGGGGAGCCCCGAGCAAAGGCGAGGAGCTGAGACCCAATGGCCAGGCGCAGGCGCAGGGCAGAGCACTGGGCTTGCAGTCTGAGAGACCTGGGGCTTGGGGGCCTGATCACTCATTGTAAAAAGTGAGGTTAGTAAATCCCCGTTGGTGGTTCCCATTGTAAATTAAAGGAAATAATTTGTTTGAAGTTGCCCAACCTGTGTATTTGGCATATTGTAATCCTGGTGCAGCATTTGGACATTGTCTTATAACGGTGGGAGGCTTTGAAAGCTTTGGGCAACGGAGGAGATGGAAGAAGTGGAGGTGTTCTGAACATTAGCACACTGGTGTGGAGGGGGCCTGAACACGAGCCTGGGGCCTGATTCCTGCAGTGGAAAGAACTGATAGTTGAAAGGCTGACGGAGGGAGAGAGCATGAGAGAAAGACATTGCAAAGGAGTAATCCTCCGGATTTGGTGATGGGCTGGTTAGGGGAAGGGGTGGGTATCTTGCTTTGTCCGTTGGCTTTTTTTTTTTTTTGCGGTACACGGACCTCTCACTGTTGTGGCCTCTCCCGTTGCGGAGCACAGGCTCCGGATGCACAGGCTCAGCGGCCATGGCTCACAGGCCTAGCCGCTCTGCGGCATGCGGGATCTTCCCAGACCGGGGCATGAACCCGTGTCCCCTGCATCGGCAGGCGGACTCTCAACCACTGCGACACCAGGGAAGCCCTGTCCATTGGCTTTTTATCACTCACTTTACACTGTTTCCCTCCTGACTCACTGCTGTGTTCTTTCCCTTGCAGGAGCCTGTGTGAAATGCAGCAAGGGGGTGTTTGGGGCCGGCCAGGCCTGCCAGGCCATGGGGAACCTCTACCACGACGCGTGCTTCACCTGTGCGGCCTGCAGTAAGTGTGTGTGTGTGTGTGTGTGTGTGTGTGTGTGTGTGTGTGTGTGTGTGT